CCCCACCTCGTCGGCCTGTATAGAGTTTCAGTTTAGTACTCGATGTACCAGGTTCGCAGAGTGATAGCTAGACAGACCGGTGGCGACCCTCAGGGCTAAGTGTTCAGACCAGGGGAAGGAATCGGCTGACGGACGGCCTCCGTCCCCTCCATGGCAGTGGGGAGGGTCAGAGGCAAACAGTTCTGAGAGTTTGTCGCCGTGCGCAGATGTTTAGTACACCGAAGAGAAATCCAAGGCATCTCCAGCATATTACACAGAATACCAGAGTAATAATTTATAGTTTACTTTCAGTTATGACATTTGTTAATCATCAAAAAAAAATCAACTGCAATATCAAATTATATGTGATAAATGTACATACATTAAAACAGCCCACTATGTAAATTGATTGGGGGTGAAACTTAACTGTTAAGTGGGCCTTTACACATTTTTTTTTTTTTTTTTAAATCTTTCTGCCTGAGTTGGTTATCCAGCGCTATGGACAAACAAACAACAACAACAACAACAAAAAAGAAAATGAACATAATTAACAAGGAAAAAGAGGAAACCTGATAAAGTTCTATTCACTTTTAAAACTTTAAAACACAAAAAAGTGCCAAAAAACATCCTTTTTCTTGCAAAAATGAAAATACAAACATCAAGAAACAATGGAGCACACATGCCTTTTTTTTTTGATTAAAAAAGTCAAAGCTCACACACCAACATTCATTTTGTTTGTCAAGTTGTGCAAGAAGCCAATTTAAAAAAAAACATAAGCAGTGTTCCTCAACTGAGGAAGCTTGTCTTAAGAATGAACAATGACACATTCTCTACATAGTTTTTCCAAGTCCCCTGACATTATACCGAGTGCTACGAGGAGACCAGAACCGACACACAAAAAAAGCTCCTGCACCAAAAGATAATGCAAACAAAGCGAAGGTTTGCACGCAGTGTTTTCACACCGCACGACCCAAACCGAGCTGTCAAACACCTCTGCCAAATTAGAGCTCAAAAACATGGGAGCACAATGAAAGCACAAATAATGACCCAACTTGGATGCTGTGGTTTGGGGCGGGGGGTGGGGGGGATTTCTGTTCCTCACACAGAGAAAAAAAAAGAAGACCGAAACAGGTTTTCTTCATGGAAAACAAGCCACAGAATCACCTAGCGCCTCGGCCCGTTGGACCCAGGAACGCGCCGGCGCCAAGTGAAGATGAGACAAACTCAAGGTTACTGCAAAGAAATAAAGAAAGCTGATGTGCAAAAAAATAAAACTTGAGCCACATCTCTTTCCCATCAGTAATTATACTCCTGCCCCCCTCCCCCACTGTCACTCTCTATGTATTTTTGAATGAATGTTTTCCCTAGGATGAGGCCGCGGTCTGAGAAAGAGGGGTTAGACCGAGCCCGTCCTAGGATTAGAAAGTGCTGAAACATTATCAAGTTTTTTCTATTTCTCTTTTACATCTACTTACATGTGCATCTTTGTTGTTGTTTTTTTATTTTATTTTATTTTTTACTTTTATTCTTCTTTTCCCAACTTTTTACAAAAAGTGGTCCCCACTATCAATGAGTTTATATTTTTCTTATCTGTGAGTCCCACCAGGAACAACTGAGGATCTCACAGTCAATTAGAGAAGAAAACAACAAACACACACATAAAACACACTCGTACGTGTTTGAACGGCACGCAGGACTCATGATGCAGACATACACAAAAACAGAGGAAGGCCACACAGGTGTAGGGAAAAGAGAGTAACTTGGGGAAAAAAAAGGTGGGTTTGTTTCTTGCTTTAAAAAAAGCCTCCTTACTTTTGTTTTGCAGAAGGGCCACACATGGAGAGAGGTTAGAACACAAAAGCTCGCTGAACGCTCTACATACACTTGGCACGGTAATAGAGGGGAAAATAAAATGTAAGTATTGCACATTACAAGGATATATTTAAAGGGGATTAAAAATGGGCGAACTTCAGACCAATAAACAAAACAAGAACTTTACGACTCCCTCAACTTCATCCACGACAAACCTCCATGCCAAGCTCACTTGTGTTATTAACGAAAATTGACAGAATTTTCTCGGTGAAATAAAAACCTTAGTGGCAAGATTTAATTTCATTTATTTATTTTTTTTTTAAGTGGGGTTCTGTGAAGAGGATACGAGCAATCAGTGTCTTACCTGCAGTATATAACTTTCTGAATGACCACAGGTTTCATAGACAGAGGTTTGGAATACATGCACTCTGAAACAGGGTCTAATAGCAATACCTCTACAAATTATTTTAAGATAAAAACACAAAATGAAGGCTTTAATAGATCTATTTTAACAAGCATAATCACATTAATTAAACCAAATGATGATTCAGAGAAATTAACTGAGTTGCAGTTTCAATTTCAGTTGTCCTATGAGGATTAAAATAATAATATACTTGTCACATGATTGAGTATCTGTCTTGTGTTTCACTGCCATAGGTTGACATGTTCCCTTTGGTGAATAACACACCAGTATCACCTTTCTACGTATTTAACACTAGATAACTTGATCACCAGCTAAGCTAGTGCTGTTAAAGTCTTTAACAGCATGAGGACCTCCACTTTTATATGCAATGACCCAATAACAACATTATTTAATCTGATGAATTTTTGCCATCTCAAAACTAATCTTAATAACTACACAGCGATTCATGTGAACCATATTTTACAACCTCTGATCCCCTTTTATATTTGCCCTGAATGGTTATTTACAATAGCAACCATGTTGCTCTTTGGTGAGTCGCTCATAGCGGTCCATTTGAAGGTTTTCAGTCCAACCTCGCAAGAGAGAGTAGTTTATTTAAAAATCTATGGTCAATTACACTCAACACTTTATGTTATGCAATGTGAATTTCTCAAGAAACATTTTCAGTAAGGAACCGCAGACAAACATGTGATCAGTGTGTATATCCAACATCTGTGTAAAAGATGATAATGGTTAAAAAGTTTATAAAATCATTGAATTTCGGAGCTGGCCTCACTCTTAGCCATTGCATTAACTGTTTCAAATTCTTCCTCCAAACGTAGCTTATTGTTTTCACTTTACCCTTTAAGGATACTGACCAATCATAACCTTTCCACAGAAACCATTTTCCCCTAAAAAAAACAAAACAACAAAACAAAAAAAAAACCTTTAATGGTCATTATACTTTAACATGAAGACAGGATCACACTGAAAGGTAGCTAACGGTTGTTACGGGGTTAAACGATTGCTTTGCCTCAAGAGGAGGTATCTGGGAGGTTGGCTGGCTGCGATCGGGTACCTGAAACAAAGTTAACGAGGTCACTATGTAGTCGTGGCAACGAGGCAGAGCTGGGCAGAGACAAAGTGCTGGTTGCTTTCAGGTGCATGTGACGTATGCTAACCTGTAGCTTTAGCATCAGCGTTAACGACTGACCAGCAGGAAAAACAGAAGAGGTTTGGGGGAGTTAAATTACGTTACTGCATATATATATACGAGTCTTCCCTGAAAACTAGCAACTGGTATTGCAAACAGCAATTTCAAGATATTAAAGTAGAATTTATGGTAAAGGGGTAAACGTTTTGTTGAGTTGTATTGATGGATAATTATCTAAATATTATATTTTCACAATAGACAGACGTTTGTTTTGACTGAAATGCTGGAGGAATATTTTCATTAAATGTTTATTGCAGAGACTGTTCCACTCATGGGAGCAGAGTGCCTGAATATGGTTTTTCTATTGCTTTCCTAACCCAACCAAAGCAAGAGTAGGTTAATTAGGCTTTGGTATACGATTCTTTTTAGGTTTAACCTATTTGAATACAAAAAGTTTAGATGATTGGAGTGTGGGCAAGGTTTGTTTTAATGCTGATTTTTCCTTGATTTATTTATTTATTTTTTTGGTAAGAGGGAATAGACAAAACAAGAAACATACATTTATAAAACCCATGCACACAGGAACACATACTTCTCTTGAAGAGGTTTCTGAAGGAGAGGAAATAAATAAAAGAGCACTACTATGGTGATGTTGATCTGAAAACCCTGTTTTATTATAATAATAAAAAAATAAAGCATTTTCAAATCTCATTTGGGGTCTTCTCGTTAACTCCCCTTTACCGTCTTGTTTCATTGACTGATCCGCCCATCTCAACACACACGCATCCTGCCATCAACCCAACAAACACTCACCACATGAGACATCATTGCCCCTTAGAGGTGGATCTACAAGCTGTGGGATAAATGTCGATAAGCCATGGCTTAAGAGACGGGATATGAAAGCTGACCTGAAGCAGTTATGCATAACAGATATGCTTGCAGAAGAATTCATCTCGTGGTGAAATGTGGTCTGGTCCCCTTCGTTACAGATTAAGACCATCTCTTTAAAAAGAAAACATGGAAAATAACATTTGAACTGCAGATTGAAAATCTTTGTTTAGGGTGTGTGTGCTATTCCACAGGGAGCTGAGGACATACCTGCCTGGCCATTACAAATCATTTATTTATTTATTGGGATGGTGGGTTGCTTGTTCAAGCTGTAGAAACTGCAGTTCCAAAGGCTTAAAACCAAAATTTTGATTATTGACTGTCTATTGTGTGCATAATAAGCTTGTAGCCCTAGCATCAGGCCACTCAACCTTAAAATCACTAATGAGCAAAATTGATGGCAACGTGTCATTGATTAGCTACTCCGAACGCTAAGTAAAGCTTCTTCACTGAGGACCCCGATATGCTACCAATAAATCAACATAATCTCATTGCAAAAATTTGCTTAAATTGTTTGAGTAACTCCCATTCTCCTTTACCCATAATAGTTTGCACATTGTCTTCTTAAAGCATCAAAGAAGACCGTTCAATAATCATCAACATCCTGGCTGATTTAAATATCATGGTATGGTCTTAATCTGGCGTGAAGGGTTTTACACAAAGAAAATGTAAAAGCTAAGCAACTAAGTTCCTTTATTACATATGTTTCAAAACAATCAAAATTGCAAGGACTTTTATATGCAAGAACCAGCGTGTAATTACGTCGAACCTTTAACACCACTGATTTAAAAAAAAAATCATCAATACCAACCACCAGGCAAGCACATTTGCTGAGGTAACCGCTAAGTCTTAGTGATAATGGCTTTCAGCTGTTTGAGACGCTCCATCTCCGTCACTAGGGGCTCGACCGTGGGGCAAATCGTGGGGCAAATCTCGAGAGACACTAGAAAATATTCCATCTTTGAATAAACTCAGTAGGCAGGCACATTTAAATTTTGCTCTGTGTTTAAATACATTTTTTTCGCAACTGACATTTAAAGAGCTGATGTAGAAGCATGTGCTCTAAATGTCGCGAAGTGCCTGTTGTGGAACAGAAAAAAAAACAAAAAAAAACCCTGGTTTCCTCCAGTGTGTTTTATGTGGTCTAGAGTTTGTTTCAGGACAGGGGCGCTGAAAATCATGTCTCCACCTCACTCCCTCCTCCTGATGTGCAAATTGCAAGATTCTCGTAAGTAAAGACTCCAAGTAGAAACACTGGACATTAAGCATTTCCTAAATATATATCTAATAACTACCTCTTTCCTATGCACAATACACATGTACACGCAAACACGCACACACACACGTACTCCTAAATTCCCATCCATACACAAACACACCACGAAGCACGACTGCTAGCGGTGTGCACCAGTCCAATGTCAGTCCACCGGTGTCTTTGCAGTAGGGACACCGTGCACCAAATATGCTTGCACCTGCAGAAATCTAAAAGTGTATTGACAAATACAGTACATATCAAAGGTCAATGATTTCAGGGATGGTCTGTACTGTTTTTTTTTTTTTTTTTTCGTCTGCGTGTGGGTGTATGGAGAGACACAGACCAGCATCATACACACACACACACACACACACACACACACACACACACACACACACACACACACACACACACACACACACACACACACACACGCACACACACACACACACGCACACACATGCACACATACGTTACAAAATACATGGTGACCTTCAAAATGATGTGGTGTGAGTTTCTAAGCTCTTGGTTTAGCACAGAACATCACTGGGATGTTAATAAGCTGTTGTTTTGTTTTTCTGTTCACCTTTATCCCACAGCCCAAACTATGAAAACACATTCCAATACTTGTCTACTATTGTGCATGGTGCCTTGCAAAAGAATCCACATGGCTATTTTTACACATTTTGTCACATTAAAACCACACGTTGCCTTGCATTCGCGTGACAAAGTAGCGGGTAATTGTAAAGAGTGAAGTGTGGTGTGCATTTGTATTCAACACCCTCTTTGTGATGCCAAAAATAAAACCCCGTGCAAGTTTCATTTGTTAATTAAACCTGTGTAAAAATGACAGGTTTCACTCCACAAATCTGGCCTGTATGAAAGTGGCAAGAAGGAAGTCACTGTAGAAAGAAAGAAAGGTATTCAAAGTCATTTTAAAAAAATTGCAGCAAACTATGGAGACACAGCAAACAGGTGAAAGAAGGCGCTCTCGTGAGACGGCACCAAAACATCTTTGGCCTCCTTGCAAAACGCTGTGCACATCACACTGAACATATGATTCAAACTGTGAAACATAGTGGTGGCAATATGATGCTGCAAGGATGCCTTTCTTCAGCAGGGTGAGGGAAGCTGATCAGTTTATTAGACACCGTTTGGAACAAAATACATAATCATGCTGGAAGAAAACCAGACATTTTGCACTTACGTTCCGGTAAAAATATGCTGAATATGAAAAGTAAAAAAAATTACGTCACAAATTGTTCTGATTTTTAGTAGCAAAAACAACCGGGATTGATCTACTCCAACTTTACAATTAAGCACTCCTTTGTGTGGATCTATTACATAACCCCCCTCCCCCCCCCCTCCAAAAGAAAAAAGTACATTGAAGTTTGTGGTTGTGATGTGACAAAATAAAAAAAAAAACTTTTGCAAGGCACCGTAAATTACTATATTTGTACTTAACGTCGTCAATACGCCACCAGTTTAATCCATGTCTGACCTAGAATTTCTTCTATACCTGTCACATTCATCCACTGCTTTATGATTCCATGGCACATCAGCTCCCTGTTGCTCTTCCAAACGCTTCTCCTCTCCAAAGTGCTGCTGCTACTTTCTACTTTTCTCCAAGTAATAAAAAAAAAAAAAAAAAATCTAAAAACATACAGTACTGTGTGAATAAAGATACAACTAAAGTCTGCTTTGCTGTAGGGTGAGTGTGACAGGTGTTTAAAGTGATTCGAAACATCCTGACCCTCTCAGAGCTCACATGCAAAAAATTTCTCTTTGTTCCTCTCACGCAGCTCTTTTAAACAGACAAAAAATACAAAGCGATTCATCAAATACAATTAGGATTGTACACAATCATCTTTTCTTAAAGCAATGCTCACCAACACAGTGTGTTTTGCACTTGTATGTATCAGGTTAGGGTATCACATTTACACACCAACAACGACCCAACTAGGGTTCAATCAAGGAATAAATGACCCCTGATTTAGTTTTTTGTTTTTTTCTGACAATCATTTAAAGCAACTATCTTGTGAGATAAAAGATGAGAGGTTAACAAAATTAAAACATTAAGATGAAAATGCTACAGATAAAAGTAAAGACTCTGCTGTCAATAAAGTAAGCAGAGTAAGTGTTGTTCCCTCTCTACTATGTGACGCACTGGCTCTACTCGGTGACCCCTGCGTGATTTGTTCTGACGCATTTGTAGAAAAAAAAATAGATGGACGTAAATTGTACCAAATAGCAATTACTTTTGACAATTACATTCAGGATTTAGCTACAAATCCCTAATCTTTAAAATCAGCTGATGTTTTACTGCTAACTTGGCAAGTGTCGGTGGTTGACGTGTTTTTTTTTTTGTTTTTTTTTGTCCAGGCAATCTCCGTACAAGCGCCCAGGGAATGAAATTGCTGTCAAGAAAAAACCGAGAGAGCCTGCATCAGCGTGAAATTTACATATTGTGTAAAGTGTCTGTGGCTGGGCAGAGCCATCGAGCGTGGTGTCAGTGTGTCACAGAGCCACCAAAAACAAAGTTCAGTACTCCTCCCCAACCCCTCAGCATACATCATCTCATGAAAACATCACCAACAACGGCACCGATTGCTCATGTGATAATATGTAAGGTGATACGCCGTAGAGTACAGTTACCTCTACAGTACAGTATTCAAGATAGAAAACAAACAATAAAATAAACAAATGAAATATTAATGTGGGCATTCCTTTTACTGAAGAATCCTGTTTTGTTTCTTTTGTAATCCCAAATGTTTTTAACAGTCCTGCTTTCCTTTTTACTTGCCAATACTTGACCTTCCCTCAATGCTGACTTTCACGTCGTGAGGAATGAAGGAAGGTTTGGGCAAGGTCAAAGGGGGCTCCTCTTCTGATTTTTCTACTTTCCGGCCCTCGGGGGCAGACCACCTCCGCTTTCTGCTGCCCGACGGCCTACTGGAGCTGGGGTCTGTGCTCCTGGCAACCTGACCTTTGGAAACAGATCCTCTTTCCCCAAACGTGAGATCTCCATTTTCCACTCTGGGGTCTCCTCCACTCCCACTCCCGCTTTCGCCGCTCTCCCGCTGGCTGATCCCGTTCTCGCGCTCTCTGTGTCTGGAATTTCCCACACTGCAGCTCTGGGATGCTTCCGAGATGGCTCTAGGGGGTTTAAGGTGCCCGTGGCTAGAGTGAGGGACTGAAGCGTTGCTTTCTGGTTCCAGAGATTGCGTCTTCTTCAGAGAGCCGTTCTTCAGGTTTTTGAGAGTGAGTGAAATACAAACATCACCCACGGAAAGCTTTGTACAAGGCAGCTCCAGAAGCTGAGTGGTTCGGTCCGGACAACATGAAGACCATCCTTGGCCAAACACAAAGAAGGGGTACTCAAGCAACACCTCCACACTCACCTAGAGAAAGGGGCAATAAGGAAACGTTAAAGCATTTATTCAAAACATGGATCTAAACATGCTGACACTGCATGTAAAATTTATTCAACATTGTACATTTGCATGACCAGCAAATGGCAATATTCATTCATGAAATGATATGAGATTGTTCAGAGAATACAGGTTTACAAATGCTTTCTGGTTCTGTGCAAGATTTGTTCAGAGCATTTTTGGCAGACCTGGACTGTTTTGGTAGTTATAAAGCTAAACAGACAAAGATCTGATGTGAAGCACCTCAAGGCACCCGATTTATTAAATACCCTGCAAAGCCAGATTGTGGAATCACCATCTCCTACTATACATTTGCTTGTGACATAGAATTTACGAAAATGTAGAATGGAAAATCTGAATCTATCTATGGCTTTTGACCCTGAACAGGCCTACCTAAGCATCAATATGGATTATAGATGTTGATCAGTCCATCGCCAAGGCAACATAAAGACGACCACGCACAGACACTCAGACATACAGTCTGTTTAAGATTTCTAATTAAACCAAAGTGTTTTTGGAAACTGGAAAAAAAATAGTTTACTTGAAGAGAAGCAATGCATGAACAATCTTTGTTATGATTTTGTGAACAGCCCACAGGAAGAAGGGCAGGGAGAGAAAGGAAAGACGTGATCTTGTTTTGGATTCCATCATAATTTAGATAAATGTTAAATGGTTCTGTACTTGCATAGCACCTTAGCAAGTCCATAAGACCCCAAAGCGCTTCACACTACAGTCACTCACGCATGCATTCACGTGCTGATGGTGGCAAGCTACTGGATAGTAGCCACAGCTGCCCTGAGGCAGTCTGACAGAAGCGAGGCTGACCTATATACACTACAAAACATAATATTTGAACATGACCTTGGCATGGCTTCCCATATAATCAGGACAGTCTATATGATGGGTTTAACCTCAGAATCAATAGAAATAAAGCAGGATGTAAAATAGTGGACCAGAAGAAATGAAGAGATATTAAAACTGAAACACAAACTTACAAAGATGTTTAAGATGTTTCAATCACCCTCCCAAACACACACTGGCCAGTATTTTTCAGCCTAACTTTTTGTAGTATAGGATGAAAGCTGCTTCAAATGGTCTTAAAAAATAAACAACATGGAGGAGAAAGCTGAGTCTGCTTGGTGAGACGGTCAGATCTTGTGGGGTGCAGAATCAAAGAGGAGTTGCTGGCAAGGGGGAGGATTTTAGATGTGCGACGTGGGCTGAAGAGCCATTACAAAGATGAAATGACTTGATTGCACACTCTGAAAGTGAGTAGTAGGTATTTGTATATATGTGTGTGTGTAAGAGAAAGAGAGAGAGAGAGAGAGAGAGAGAAAGAGAGAGAGAGAGAGAGAGAGAGAGAAAATAAGGAATGGAAAAAATAAGAAAAAAAAAAAACCCTAAAGGCTGTTGAAAGATCTTAGTTACAGAGAAAAAAAAAAGTTCTGCATACTTTAGCAAGCCACATTATTAGGCACACCTTGCTAGGACTGGGTGGGACCAGCTTCGATTCTTCTTTGCAAAGATTCAAAAAGGTCCCAGAAATATTCCTCAAAAAATTGCTTGTGACACAGTGCACTATCAAGCTAAATGTAGCCATCAGAAGACAGGTACAGTGTTCAGATGGATGGAGACGGTTAGCAACAATCCTTAGAGCTTAAATGATGCTAAATGATGGTACAAATGGACCCCACACCGTTAAGTTAACGCCAACACGCTTAATCACACGGACTCATGTTTTCATGTTATTTAAGCCAAATTCTGACTAACATTAAAACTTTAAGGTCTCCTTAAAAGTTGTCTGAGATATTTGTCAGTTTTTGGTTTTCATTTAATTTCCCTCAACATGCTAAACCGAAGGCCCAAATTCTTTTCATTGCTCATTAAATGAAAGCTACAAAGTACTGCAAATAAGCGAAGTGGTTTAGGCAGTATTTTGTATTTTCTATGAAGATGTGCTCATTATCGAAGGATATTTTGTTGCCTGATTTACTCAATAATTTCACAAGCTGTCGCATAGATTCCAGATCTCAACTCTTTGAACTTGTGTGAAGCTCATAATAAGAACGTGTTCGCAACAAGACTGTCATCCAAGTACATTGAAGTTAATTACAGGGGGAACAGCCGAGTCCTGAGATTCATGATAATAAAGTAATTAAGGTGGGTGCAGCTCAACACTTGTCATTCAACATAATAATCACCACATATGAACAAACAGACATCTCTACTACAGGTCTTAGCATTCTTGTAGGTGAAATGGTTTACAATTCAGGGAATCTTAAATAAAGTACCGCAATGCATTTTTGACCACTTTTTGCAAAGACTTTATTTAACCAATAAGGGAAATTCTTTTTTCATCTCGCTTCAGAGTTACTGTTGATAACTTATTAACTTTGTTTAAATAATAGAAGCAGTGGGAAGCAGCCATCTGGGCTGATTCTAAAGGCAAAATTACAGTCACTTCAACTATTAGGCTGACAATTTGACAGTTTCTCTAAAAGGTGAAAAAGAAATTATCAGAACGATTAATTTCTTGAATTTGCCTTATATTGTCACTGATTTCAAAGGAGATGACAGTCTTTCTGTGAGGCCAACTTAATAAACTGGGACAATAGTTACTACAGCATGTTTTTTTATATACAGTTACAACCAGAAATAATAATTTCATCAATGTCAGTTTTAATTTGGGTTTTGATTAATACCTTTTAATTGCCCTTGTTTGGAGGGAAATGATAATCTTCACAATATTCAATAATTTATGAAACTTTTTTTTTGCTCATTTTGAAATTTAGTCTAGATTTTTATTTTTATTTTTATCCACATTGAATAAAGATTTTACATGCAGGGTCAAATGTATCTACACAACTCACTGAGACGTGGTTACACTTAACTTATAATAATTAATACAATAACTTAATAATTGTAGTGGATATTTCACCACATGACAAAGTTATTACAGCTCATTTAGGCTTTACAGCTTTCCAGAAACCAGGTTTGTCTATTCAAAAATTAGTTCTATAGTTTATTTGTAATCTTTGTCAGACTAGTGAGCCATTTTCAACAAGATCACCCAAACTGTCACAAACAGAGAAAACTAAATTGGTTGTTTCACTATTATTAAAGTAAGCGGATTTTGCTTAAAAACTGGGCCATTTTCTGGAAACTCAGATGAGCCATATCAATTCTAGTATGGGTATTTAAATATCCGGTCAGAATTATGGCAAACAGTTCCTGACCCATAAAATGAATGTGATTTCTAAACTTTTCTAAGGCACTCTTCTACTTGATATTAAAAGGGTGTATGCATATACAGTATCCATTCCAATAAGGCTAATTTGTCAGATTAAAAATGGTTTTTGAAAAAAAAATAATAATAAAAAAAAAAATATATATATATATATATATATATATATATATATATATATATATATATATATATATATATATATATATTTAAGCCAATATATAAAAAATTATTTACATTAAACCCTGTATTAAAAATGCTTATTATTGGTCAGATGTAATATTCAAATCTTAGATGCGTTTTCATTTGCTGTAAGACAACTATCAAGAACAGAAATTAAGTGTGTAATTAATCTATGTAATGTTTTTCACTTAGTGAATTGAGTTACTGAAATAAACTTTTTAATAATACTTTAATTTGTAGAACACGATTGTATTTCAATTTGCATGTGTACATTTTACTCAGTGTTTGGAGAATATGCACAATTCAAATATGTCCACCCACATCTTAATTTCTAAAATATCTCGAAGGTATTCAGAGTGTAGTTGTTTCTGTCTACACAAACTATGGCTTAAATTTTTAATTGCTACTACTTAATAAATGGCAATAATTAATGTACAGAGATACATTTCTAGGTGTACTTCTGTTTACTTTTCTTACCTGTGTGCGATGCTCACCAACAGAGAACTGAACAACGGCAAAGTTAGGTGAGGTGTGGCTCCCTTCTATGCGCTCCACCGTGGACGAATCGATCTTCAGCTCACTGCTAATCTCTGCACTCTGGATGAAGTCCTCTGTCTTCAGGTCCTCCACGCGTTTCAGTTCGCCGTCTGCCAGCTGGATGATAGAACCCTTGATAAAATACGGCGGGAGTGAGGGGGACACCACTGTACTTGAATGAGCTGGAGGAGTGGAAGCTGCAACTAGCCCTGGTGGAGCGGGAACAATGGGGAGATGAAGCTGGGCTTGAACCACTGCGCCTGGAGCAGCCACGTGGTATGAGCCACTTTGGGTCTCCACAGTTTCTCCTTTCGGGGCAGTGGCAGCGATGTATGTGTGTGGGAGTGTAGCAGGAAAAGGTGCAGCTTGAGTTGATGATGTGATGTGTGAGGTTACAGGCTCTAGTGTGGGGACCCCACCTCCGCTAACTGGGATGATGACTGGTTGGGTGCCTGGAATGAGCAAGTGTTGCTGTAGGCCGGTGTGGTAGCTGCTCCCACTGCCCCCTGTAATGTAACCAATAAGAGGTTGCTGTGGGTAGATGCTTGTCGAAGGGAGTCCCATTGACAGTGGCTCTGAAGCATTGTGGGTGGTCTGGATAACAGTCTGGGGCGGCAGTGTGCCGACAGCAGCTTTCAGACTGTCTGCACTTAGTGGAGGTGGAAATGTGAAAGAGCAGGTGGTGTTGGATGATGAGGGTGGGCGACTGACAGGCTTACCCATGCTGCCTTTCTCCAGGTGTGTGGGCGTGGAAGCTGTCAGTTTCTCAGGGCTGGCTCTGGGTGGTACCAACTGGTGGTCCCCATGGCTATTGGGTATTAACATGACAGAGGTTCTTAACCCTAGGTGATCATGAGTAGAGTAGTCTGACGGCAAAACCAGATGACGAGCCTCAAAGGAAGACAAGGAGGACCTGTCCTCCCTTGATTTACCTCCCGACTTTAAGAGGCCAGGCTCTGGTGGGGGTCCAAATCTCCTACCCCTCTCCAGCTCCCCGTTATGGAGCTCTCTGTGTCTGGTTCCTTCCTCCTTTCTGCTGTAGCCATCTGTATATTTCCCCAATGATTGGTGGTGATGCATGGACTGGGACGGTAGGTGAGTGCCTCCTTGGTGGTGAGGTGATGACACAGTCCTTGGTGACGTTGACATTTGAATATGATGGGGGAAAGGGTCCGTAGAAGGAGGAGGCATGGAGGTGCGTCCCGAGGACGCTCGATGCTGTTCCTGTTTGGTGACCAGCGTCTGAGCAGGTGACGTCTCTGTGTACGATGGTCTCTGTGTGGCTGAAGAGGAGGAGAGAGGGGGAGGCGGAGGAGGTGGGAGTATCTGAGGAGAAATGTAGCTTGTATATGGAGTAGTGTACGATGAAGCGATGAACTGCATATTGGGAGGCAGTTGTGTATAATGGACTGTTCCTCCAATCGTAGATTGAGATAGGGGGGATGTGTACACTGTGGGGAGAGATGATACTAGCCTCAAAGAGGAAGAGGAGGTGGAAGAGTCTGATAAGGTGGAGGGGGATTTATACTGGGGCCCATCAGTTTTGTTGGAGCTATGATGTGCACTAATATTGCTTTCATTTCCACCAGCTGCACTAACATAGCAGGCCGTGTTCTCTGGTCTGTCATGAACAGGTTGTATAGCCGGAGAGCGACTTTCAGGCGGTAATGTACTTGATGTGCCCCTCTTTTTGGGGGGCAGACATTCATTGCTGCGTTCCTGATTGGACTTCATGCTGATTTCACTTCACGTCTTTGAACTCGCAACTGTACTTGCTGTATTCTTTATTTAAAATTGATCCAATACGATTCCCTTTCTTGTTTTGAACTTTCACTCCGACTGTCCTCGTCACTTTCCTTCAATCCTTTCTTTTTGCTTTTAATGCTTAATTCCTTTTTCAGGTCAATTGCAAATAAACCTTTAAAAACCTTCCTCCATTTTACTCCAAACAGCTGACAAACATTGTGTTTCAGTGAAATGAGGATCGGAAATGGAGATAATGGGAGATTGGTTAATGGGAGGAGTGGGGTGGCCAGATCTGTCCAGGAATCTTCAGTGGCCGAGGGCTGAGCCCAGTCTGGTATGAGAGAGCGTCACAACGTTACGCCTGCTGCTGCTGCTGCAGAGGATGATGGGGGGCCGAGTACGTTGTACTTCATGTGGAATCATTTCCCTCCAAAAGAAAGTCTTCCCACACAGAGCGGAAGCCTGTAGAAGAGAAAAACTTAACTGTTGAAACAGTAAATGGAAGAGGCAAGAAACATAAACATAGGTTATAGAAATATGAGGTCATCCCTGTTGCAAAAAGCTAAAAGAAGAGGCCCTACATAAAACATTTTTATTGGTGGGCAACTCTGAAGGAGAGACTCAGTACATTGCAAGGCAATGTGGGCATTGGCCAATTATAAAACTAATCTTGTCGATGTTCCTTACATCTACGGATATTTAGATGCACCACGTGTTTGAGAATAACTAAAATTTTACCTTTTGTATGTAAGTTCACATAAAAAAGGTTGAAAACACATACTGTTTTCAATGATAGAAAACGGTATTTCTATTTGTGAAATGTCAGAATATTCTCAGAATGACTTTTGCTTAAAGATTTTATAACCTTTTCGAAATTCAGAAGTTTATGAACTCTAAGATCAGTATGCTTTTAAATAATTTCATAAAGCCCTAGTGACATGTCGTGACACTTTGACCTTCTGACGGGTTTTCACAACATTTGGGTTTATTTGAGTCATGCCTGTGCACGAAATCTAAGGTGACAACTCGAGAAGAAATCAGTCAACATATCAGCAAGAGAGTTGTGAGCCACTTCAATTCTCTTTCCAAACCAATTTTCATAGACTAAAGGTGCCAAATAATTATATGCAAGTATAAACAGTGTGGGAATGCATCATATTTTTTTAGGAAGGGCAAGGAGACGAGTTCAGTGTCTGTGAGATGAACGTGCTTTGGTGAGGCACACTTATATCAACCCCAGAACAAAAGCAAGAGACCTTGTGAAGATGCTGGCTGAAGAGAAGAGAAGCTCACCATTCTGACACTTGGATCAAAATGGGCTAAAAGCCTTTTTATGGAAATTTCATTAATCAAAGAATGAGAATCTGTTTCAATAATAAGAGAAAGATTAATCTTTGTCTTTAAGTTTCTTTATTCGAGGGCAAAAGCGTTCGAAGACCCGTCTCACTGAACGCAGTCAGGAGAAGAGCTCTGAATGACACACATCACATGGTTATATCGTCACCAAGGCAAAGACCCACGGAAAGTCTGATCTTATCTCTACTGCCAGATGGACAGAAGACAATCCTTAACCCCACCTCATGAACTACCCCTCACTTTTGGGAGGGAAATGTTTTATGGCAGGGAAGAGAGTCGATAAGGATTTCAGGAGAAACTTCTAATTCTTCTTTGTCAGTTACTCATGACTTCAGGTCAAACAGGGGTACAAACAACATTCCACACATGTCAGTCCTTTAAGACAATTTCCAGGTTAAGCATTTTACCCAAGACGTCTTCATGTCTCTTATACTATCACAGCTGTGGAAACATCTAACATTATGTGGAAACTTCTTCAATGGAAAAGCACATCTTGCAGAAATACAAAAACACAGCAGATATAGTCAGTAAATAAATCGTAAAACAAAAAGTATCATCAGTTCCATCAAAGATGAAATAAGGCTAAAAATGAAATTTTCTATTACAGCCCAAAGAGGAAAAGGTCATTTCCTCTAAAGTCAACATAAAAAGCTAGTTTGCAAATGCTTGCCAGCACAAACACTCTGTTGCTGGAGACAAGTTCTGTGGTCTACTGAAACTAAGACTGAGGTTTTTGGTCATAATAACTATTGTTACATTTGGCAGGGAAAGAAGGAGACTTGCAAGCCTAAGAACACCATTACAATTATGAAGTACAGGTGTGGCAGCATGATGTTGTACGTGTGTTTTGCTGCAGGAGGGACTGGTGCATTGTATTGAATCTCTTTCAATATTTAGCTTTTAGGAAATAGAGTTAACTTTGGTAGCACTATTTGATCTAAAACAGGAAAACATTAGTTGAAACTTTAGTTCACAAAAAGAAGAGAATATAATGTCAGATATAAAATTTATATGTGATAAAAGTATATCATCCAAAAAATCCTGTTAGCAAAAGTCTTTGGTAGATAAAGTGTGAAAAATTAAAACAATAAACCCAGAATACTCTGCTGTGTGCAGAAATGTGTACGCCATGTAATAGTAAATATATTTGTGTGATGTGTGCCATCTGTTAACTATGACTCCCTACTGCTAAAGAACAGCTTGGTGTGAACTTATAAATAATGTATCGGTACTTCAATAATGCACTCTTATAAATACACTCTCGCTCATACATAACCAGGCACATCACGGCGGTGCATGCACGTGGTGACCCCTGGTCGTATTAATTATGTTCACTCTCTTTTCTTCAGTCATAGACCAACTAAACTTACAGGCATTTTAGTGCCATAAGAATAATAGGTGCCATGCATATTTTCTTGCAAAAAAAATCACATGGTAAATTGTTTATTGCAGCACACGCCATGAATGTATATCAAATACACAGCTTAGGAGCGCAAGCATTTCTCTGTTTTATCAGTTCAACTGGTTTCTGGTGTGACTGCACCTTGCACTACTAGGAAAGTGAATAGACAGTCTTAAGTAATATTGTGTAAAACAAAGCATTTATGGTGGGGTACATACAAATTGTTGCTAAACTAATGATACTGTATTATATCTTGTGAAAGCAAAGACTGAACACCATTTTAAATAAATGCAGTGATGAGTTAAAATAATAACGATCTAACACTCATTTATTAACAACTATTAACAGTATGATAATTAGAGTGAAATACAGTTCAGATTATTATCTTTCTAAGATAAAAAGTTTTTTTTTTTTTTTGGTCTGCCTTATCAAGAAAACATGGTGAGTCTGTACATCTATTGAAAGTTTCTTAACATAGAAATGAAACACTTGATGTCTGACTTCCATATCTAGAGGGTAATGGAAATATCCATACCCTTCCATGGATACTTATTTCATTATTTAATTCTATTTCTAACCCTTAATAGAATGACATAAAAGAAGGTTAAAGGAGTCATAATTCTTATCATAGGGCAAATTTTAGAAATAATTTTGTCTGGATAACGTTTTGTTTATCTTCACACATCACATTCACTATTTTTCTGCTATCCAGGCAGTTGCAGGCTGTTTGTCTGCCAGGTTTTCATCACACTTTGCACTTGTTCTCGGAGGTAATGGTATTTCTCCTTCACCAAGAAAACATAATTGGTATAAATTCTCAAGATTAAATGCCTAAAAACGGTTGCTAAATCATTTTTTTAAGCCTGATTACATTTTTTTGTTAGATTATTACCACATGCATTGAGCTAGTGTGTCTACCTTAAGTGTGCACGCATAGGTTTCCTCTACAGGACAACAAACTTCTGGCCTCGAAAGCAGATTTTCTGTATTTTAAGAACTGTTACAGTTAAATTTTACAACCCGGAGTTGAACAGTGGAGTAAACACACATGCACATTCATTGGTACAAGTGTAAGAGTAGCCAACACGCATATACACACACAGAAAGATAGACTTTGTTTTATATAGATACACTCACACTATCAGAATTTCTGTTCAGTCAGGTAGCCATGACTCAAAGGTGTGTTGAATGGTGCCAGTTGATAGGTGATGTTTAAATGCTGAGGTGTACTTTCCTTTGACTTGCCTTTGTCAGTCCACCTCCACCCCACTCTCCTGCCTCAGCCTGCCCACATCTTCAGCAATATAATTTTGCTCTCAATTATCATTTTTTCATCTAATAGTTTGATGTTCTCATTTCTCTCTTCTTATTATATTTGCTTCTTTCCTCCCAGCATCTGTTAGGGATTATTACTCGGTTTCACTCTGGGTTGATATGCTTTCGCGAGTAAAAATAAAATAAGAAAAAACAAAAACAAAAAAAAAAAAACTGTCCCCGACAAGCTGATGCTTTCTAATTAAAAGTCAAATAAGTAAAACTTTGGATGCATCAGATGAGAGATTTTTCTGACGTCATAGAAGCAGCAAGTGCAGATTTATTTACACTGCAGTTTGTGAGACATGTACCGTGTTTTTCTTTGCTAAGCAAAAAAGACTGGTCAACACATACATGCAAACCTCTTGGTAAAATAAAATAAATAATATATAACGTGGATGATTTAAACAACTGCATAACAAAACAATATAAAATCATAAAAAAATTTTGAAATTATAAGCATTCGAAGCTTGAAAGAAAATATTTGCTCTTGTCTTATCAAACAAAAGTCAATGAAATATCATTTCCCTTAATCCATTCTTCAGTAAAACTGTTTTAAGGTCCAGACCAACTCGACACTGTATGAAAAAGTAACCCTTCAAGTTAAATCTTGAATTACCTATGATAATAACCACAAAAGCTATTTTACTAGCAACAACCAGGACTGATAATAGGCTGAACTACTGCCTCTTAAATAACAAAATATAGGCTAAAAAGTTCTCAAAAGAAACACATGATGCAACACCATGTATCAAGAACTGATGAGAAAGTAAATGAGATACATCTGTCTCGAAAAGGATATGAATTAATTTATTTGCTTCAGGACTCCAGTCAACAATGGTCCAGCCATTATCCACCAATGATAAAGTGTGGAACAGTGATCAAGGGTGGGCAGCCTACCAAAATGACTTTAAAAGAATGTAGACAACTAATGCACAAGGTCACAAAAAAACCCAGAACATTGGCTAAAGCTGTCATTATTTCCTCCAACAATAACAAAGAGGTTAAGCAAAGATGTCAGCCGTGTTAGACCTCACATGAAAAAAAATAAAATAAAATAAAAATAACACTATTGACCAAAAGAAACTAGGATAGCATTTCAGAGAAAAAAAATCATATTGGAAGTCAAGCATGGTAGAAGTTTTAGGGTCTGGAGTTTCTAGACCAGAACAACTAGCAGCTGATGGATCATGAATTTTGCCCTCCACTAAAAATTCCTGAAAAAATCATTTCCAGTAATCATTTGTAACCTTAAGCTCAAACCTCCAGTTGAATTTACACAGCTGGACAATTATCTAAAGCACAGAAGCAAATACTTCTCTGATATATTTGTCTGATATTAAAATTAGTTTGATGAGCTGATAGATTTGTGATACATTTGAAAGTTGCA